GATATTGTAAGCAACAAGAAAAAGAAACACATTTAAATATCATGGAGCTATGATCACGATTACACAAGAACTAGCATCTACTACATTGAAAGACCATAAGTCTTGGAACATTATATTTCATAGAGCAAAAGAGCTGGGATTATAACCAAGGGTAGTTTACTCAGCAAAGTTAAGTATAATACTGATTTTTTTTTTATTAAAAAAGAACATTTAACAAATTGAAAGACTTTCAGGTATTTGTGACAAAAGAGCAGAACTTAATGGAAAATTCAACATATAAGAGCAGGAGAAATAGAAGGTAAACATTAAAGACCAATTAGAAGGGACTCAATAAGGTCAAACTGTTTACTTCTTACATGTTAAAATGTTATTAGTATTCTTATGACTATCATCATTTAGGTAGGTATGGGCTGAGCTGTACGTGATAGGGTGGTTCTAAAAATAAAACTTTGTAAGGAGAGATAACAATGAGTAATTGTTTTATACAAACGATGCATTAAAGGAAGAATTGATACAGAAGAAGCAAGTGGGGGGGGCTGGTAGTGCTAGAACCTTACTCTCCTCAGAAATGGGTTAAAGAGAGAATAACATGCATATCTAGAAGGTTATAAAAGTCTCCCAAATTTAGAAAGAAATAAGAGGGTAAGGGGATAGGATAGGGAGGGACTTTTAGAAGGATCTGTAGATTAAGAATTAGAAGGGGGAGAGGATAAGGGAGAAACTCTTAGAGGGCTGGATAGATTAAGGAGGGCAAGTTAGCGGCAGAAGTAAATTAGATGAGTGAGCAGGGATAGAGCAAATAGGGTGAGAAGAATAGTGAGGCAAAATAAGATGGAGGGAAACTCATAACAAGTAGTTATAATGTACAATGTGAATGAGATGAATTTACCCACAAAACAGAAACACATAGCAGAATGGATTGAAAATCTGAACTCAACAATATGTTGATTTCAGGGAATAAAATAAAAATGAGAGATTCACACAGATAAAGAGCTGGAGTAGAATTTATTATGTAAAAAAAACCAAACGGGTAGTAATCATGATAGTTAATGGTAAAACAGATTTAATTAAAAGAGAAAAATAGAGAAACTGCACTATGCATCACCAATGTCATTCCATATTGTTTTAGACTATTTAAAATAACTAGACAGAATAAAATACCTGAGAGTATACCTGCCAAAACAGACACAGAAACTGCAGGACCTTAAACATAAAACACTCTTTGTGCAAATGAAGTCAGATTTAAATCATTGGAGAAACATTCATTGTTCATGAACAGGCAAAGTCAATATAATAAAAAATGACATTTTAACCTAGCTGATCTATTTATTCAATGCCATCCCAAATAAATCACTAAAAATATTTTGCTGAATTAGAAAAAATAAAAGCAAAATTCATTTGGAGGAACAAAAGGTCAAGAATGTCAAAGAAACTAAGGGGGGGGGATGTAAAGGAAGGAGATTCAGCAGTACCAGACCTTAAACTATCTTATAAGGGAAGAGCATTATTGATGTATAAAACGATTATTTTAAATTAACATTTTATGTTAAAAATAAAAATCAACATAGCCAAGATTAGAAGGAAAGCAGAAAATTGGGAGGAAAACTTTCATAGATAGTCTCTCACATAGGATATGTTTGTGGTAGAATGCTGCTGTGATAGAAGAAATAAACTCGTTGATTTAGAAAAACATGAAAAGATTTGGAGCTATGAAGGAGGATTCCATCCACCTCCGGCAAAAGAACTGGCAAATAGAAATAGAAATGTTATGGTCTTGCATGTTAGGTATATGTATATATGTGTATGTTTGTAGATATGTACATGTATTTACATTTCATTATAGCCTTCTCGGGGTGGGGCCAGGGAGGGAGGAAAAAAAAGTTAAAAATGCACCTCCGAGAACAACCACAAACAGAACCCTGGCCGGAAGCACAGAAAAGCTGGGCAGCTTGGAAAACAGTATGCAGGATTTGATTCACAGGTTTTCATGAAATGGAAATTTAATGTTTTATATTGAATCCTCCCATGTTCTGCCGTGTACATGGAAATGTTCTTTTTACCTTTTCTCATTTTGTATTTGAGTTTAAAATGAATAAAACATTAACAATTGTGTTATAGCTATTTTTTAACAATAATAGCTGACTTTACAAGACACTCTCAGTTTATGAGGCACTTTTTTGTGCATTAGGACATATGGCATAGAATGGATTTCTTAGCCAGGAAGACCTAAGTTCAAATCTTGCCTCTGACACCTGCTGTTTCACTCTGGGAAAGTAACATAACCTCTGAGAGCAATAGACTTTGTTCAACCACCTCTTCCCTCTGCCCCTGTGGCTCTTTTCTCCCATTGCTTAGTTCTTCCCAAACCTCCATTTTGTGGAAGGACCCAAAAGAGACAAATGAAGGACCCTTCATTTCCCACACCTTCTTGCCATGTCCATGCATGAGTACCTCTTCTTCCCCCTCACCCCTACCAACTTCCTTTCAGGTGTGTGTCTGCCAATGGAACGCAAGCTCCTAGAAGCTGGGAGCTGTCATTCTCCGCACTTAGCATAGTGTCTGGCTCATAGGATGTGCCACATAAATGCTCACTGACTTAATCCTAGTAAGACTGTAATATGAAGACAAGGTGCCAACCAGCATCGGTAGAGAAAATTGCTCAATGGGGCTTCCTGTCATCAGTGAAATCACAGGTCTAGTCTCCCGTTATCAATTGGTTCAACAATCAAGTGTGGTAGGCAACTGTAGTTTTCACTGTCTACACTTGTACTGTTGAGGAGGCTGAGGCTTAGTGTGGTGAAGTGGGTGGTGATAATTCATTTCTTTATACTCTATTTCCTTCTCTCTACCGTATTTTTAATTCTTTAATGGTTAAGACTGTGTTTTCTTTCATCTTTGTATTCTCAGTGCCTTGAAAATTATAGGTGATTAATACATATATGTTGATTTAAATCAAGCAACACAAACCAGATTGGAATTATTACCATCTCCATTCCAGGTTCTCTATTGACCCTTGATGGAGCCTAAAATCACATCAGCCTTTTTGGGGAAATAACATCATGTTGCTGAATTATTTTGAACTTGTACTTTCCCGAGATATCATTTGCTTTTCCGCTTTGTAAGTACAAGTCTATACAGGAATACTATCATGCCTGGATATTCATAAGAACTTTTGTTGTTCAGTCTCATTTTTCAGTCACGTCCAACTCTTTGTGACCCCATTTGGGGTTTTCTTGATGAGGATACTAGAGTGGTTTGCCACCTCCTTCTCCAGCTCATTTTACAGATGAGGAACTGAGGCAAACAGGAGTAAGTGACTTGCCCAGGGTCATACAGTTAGTAAGTTTCCGAGGCCACATTAGAACTCGGGAAGATGACTTTTTGTGACTCCAGGCCCTGTGCTCTGTGCACTGTAGCACCTAGCTGCTCACTCACGAGAACTAGTTCCTTACAACAGCTATCAGAAATTATTACCCTTACAGGCAATGTCTCAAAATCCAATGTATCTTACAAATGTTGCCCGCTTACCCCTTCAAGATTACTCAGCCTAAACCTTAACAAAGGCAGATTAAGGCTACCTTTTATAACTCAACTAAAGGGCGCCGTGCTGGACCTAGAGTCAAGAGGGCCTGGATCTAAATCCAACCTCAGACGCCTACTAGCTGTGTGACCCTGGGCAAGTCCCTTAGCCTCTGTTTGCCTCAGTTTCCTCATCTTCAAGATGGGGATAAGAATAGCAGCCATCTTTCAGGATTGTTGGGAAGATAGAATGATAGGTGTAAAGAATTTTTTACAAACCTTAAAGCACTGTAGAAATGCTAGCTGTTATTGTCATTGCCATTTATTTCAAGGACGGGACATTCATGCAAGCAGCTCAAAAGCTGGGTCCACAGCTTCTGTTTCATCCAGAAAGATCAGGATGGAAATCGATGTAATCAGTTAAATGTAGAGAATTCATATGAAGTGTTTGAGGTAGGACGATATCAGGCATGAGAGTAGGGTAGGGTGGAGAAAGCAGCCGAAGAGGCATGTGAAGGGATGGGAGAGAAGAGAATGAAAATGAAGCCTGGGACCCGCGGGAGGAAAGTCTTCAAGCTGTACAGTTGTCTGTAATTAAAGTTCTTTACTGTTGGTGTTTTTTTTTTCAATTCTTTTACAAATAAGGAGTGATAGACATCTTGAATTTGAAAGAAATATTAAGGATCATTGGCATACAGTCTGTTGCTATTAGTTAATTAATAAATGATAGAGGGCATTTTTTCTCCTCACTGCATTAAAAACCTAGTGACTGATTTGTTCAACCTATAATCATTTTAAGATACCTTTGAAAATGATTTTACAAAAATCAGCAGTGTATGTGAGCCCAGAGTAAGCTGCTTCTTTGTCTTCCTAACTAAGAAGGCGTTGTTCAGTTGTTTTTCAGTCCTCTGGCTCTTCATGATCCCATTTGGGGTTTTCCTGACAAATATGCTAGAGTGCTTTGCCATTTCCTTCTTCAGCTCGTCTTACAGATGCAGAATCTGAGAATAAAAAGATTAAGTGACTTGCCTGAGGTCACGCAGCTAGTAAGTATCTGAGGTCGAATCTTCTTGACTCTGGATCAGAAACCCTATCTATCTACTGCACCACCTAGCTACCCCAAGAATAGGGCACCTTTGATATTTAAAAGATGGAAGCCTTTGATTTTTCTTAGGTAGAGGATGAGAGAAGGATTGATTAGTATAAAAACTGGGGCTTAGTCCAAGTCAGGGTGAGACTCACCCATCCATCCACCCATGCAGAAAGAAACGATGTGAAGAGCAAATATAATATCTAGTTGGGACAAGGATGGAGGACCACAGGATATCACAATCAGAAGTTTAGTATTTGGGATGGCCAAGGATGTGGTTTTCCTCTGATGAACTATGCTGGTATGCTGGAACATCGAGTGCCTGCTGCTAAGGGTGACATGGAAATTCCATCTCCTAAGCCTCTTTGGTGTTTTGTTTTGTTTTTTACAG